GTTCGAGGCCTCTTGGCGCACGAAGCGTTGCAGGAGGAGCACATCTCCGACTGCCTGGCTATCTCCTTCTCTTGCTCGGCGAGCCTGGCCCGCTTCATGGACGGGACGTGCTGCTCATGTGTTCCTTTCCCTCTTTCCCCCATCCTCCTCCTCCTCCTCCTCCTCCTCTTCCTCCTCCTACTCCTTCTCATTATCCTCCCTCCTCCTCTCTCGATCCTGAGGAGACCCGAAGCAACTCGGCCGATTACACTCAGCAGCTCAGACAACAAACTGATTTCTCTCGCCCTCAACCGACCCCTGCCTCGGATCGCAGCGCAGACGGTGATAGAAAATCAGTGCGGCTTCATCGTGGGTGGGTACATGAACGAGAATATCATGAACCTCGACAGCAGAGCTGTCTCTTGGTTTGCACAGCACGGCCACCAGCCTGCTGGCACTATTTATTATGATGCCAAAGCTGGTTTCCCTAGCCTATACCACTGCATGATCTTCTGGGTCCGTACAGACATGAGAGTACCACAGCATATCCTCACAGTCATACGTACACTTGATGATGACGTCCAGGTGTCCGTCAACTTCAGTGGGCTCCGTTCTGCCTCGCACATAGCCTCCAGGGGTATCAAGTAGGGCTGTCCGCTTTCCGGTGCTATGTGTTGTCTTCGTATGGATCCTATTATTAGGTACGTGCTTACACGTATCCCAAGTCAGTTGAGCTACTTCGGGGCCTTCGCCGATGGCATCGGCATCGAGTCTTACAACGTACTTGAGACTGCCAAGGCTCCTCTTCCTGCCTGGCGGGTCGCTGGTCGAACTGCGGGCCTCCACGCGCACGCGCAGGGGACCGTGCTAGTGCCGCTCAGCTTCTGCAGCGCCCAGGAGTGCAAAGCGACTGCGCGTACCCATGGCATCCGCGGTGAGCCTCTTGTCTTCCAAGCCTCTGGCAAATATCTTGGGGTCGTCCTCGGGCTCCAGGGGCGTGACCTCGGCCTGCGGGCCTCCGCGGCCAACTGTCTCTCTCGGGCTTTCGTGGTCAAAAGCCTTGGGCTTGGACTTTGCAAACCCATCGCGGTGTTCAACTTATTCGCGCTTTCCGTCCTGAACCACATCATGCAGTTCTTCCCGCCTTAAGCAGAACTCTAAGAAGAGCTCGACAGGCCATCAGCAACGTTCCTAACAATAGCCTCGCCCAGGAAATCTTCGAAAACCTCAGGGAACGGAGCTTTCCTGCTCAGATGCCATCGTTCCCGCCAGTCGCGCCGACATGTTCCGTGCTGCCACCATATCCCTAGCGTTCTCTGCCGCTCAAAAGCTGTTTGAGCCCACCGAGTATGATGATGAGCGTATGATGATAGCTTGGAGGACCAAGAGTGTTTGGACTAACTCCGTAATCTTTCACATGCTCAAGAACTATATTATGCTCGTGGCCATCCCGGCGGTACCAGAGTTTGGCACGCCAAGATTCCAGGCCTGTATTGAAGCTGCCCTCCGCGAGCTCGCCACATTTCCGCTGCGCAGTACTCTAGCCCGTCGCCTCACGAAATTCGGCACCGCTCCTTCCCCCCGCCAACTCGACCTGATGCATACTGCCCTTAATCGAATCGGGAAGCACACTGCCTCCTGCACTTGTTCCTGCGTTCTCAGAACCGTGTGTAATGCCTGGTGCACGTCAGGTCGATTCAGGGGGCCCACAGAAGTCTGCCGATTCTGTGGTGAGGAGCTTGGTGGCCCTTGTTTGTCCTTGCTCCTTGTCTGCCTCTGCTCTTCTCCTCTTTCTGCCTCCGTCTTTCGCTCTCGCTCCTGCGTCGTCTCGTGTTTCTCTCTTTCAGGTGTTGCCTGTGTCGTCCTTCGCTCTCGCCTATGTCGCCCTCTTTCTCGGTCTTTGTTGCGCATCCTATCACGAACTGAAACATTGGCCGCGCGTCGCCCCCGGACAGAGAGCGGGCGAGAACGCTTAGCTTCGCCAGAGCTCGTCTGGTTCAGCTACGCAGGCGCGCCCCTGCCGCACAGTTGGAGGTGATTGGGATTTGACTGTCGTCCGCCGTCGTCGGTCGGCCCCTCGGGCCGTGTACTCCTCCCTCCTCCTCCTCCTCCTCCTCCTCCTCCTCCTCCTCCTCCTCCTCCTCCTCCTCCTCCTCCTCCCTCCTCCTCCTCCCTCCTCCTCCATCTCCTCCTCCCCTCGCCCGTCTCCTCCTCCTCATCCTCCGCCTCCACTTCCTCATCCTCTTCCTCCTCCTCCTCCTCCTCCTCGTCCTCCTCGCCCCCCCCCTCGCCCGCGTCGGCAGGCGTCGGCTGGGCGCCCGAGGCCTGACCGACTTGCGTCTCCAGGCGCGGCGCTGACCACCGCTCGTCCCCCCGCGGACGGTGCGACGCTCTGCTTGACGATCGGCGCTCGACGCAAGCCCTTGCCACTGGCTGCCCCCCACTGGGGGGGCTTCTCCGAAGGGCTGAGGCGACCCCTCCTCCTCCTCGTGCTCCTCCTCCCTCCTCCTCCTCCTCCTCCTCCTCCTCCTCCCCCCCCCTCCTCCTCCTCCTCCTCCTCCTCCTCCTCCTCTCCTCCTCCTCCTCCTTCTCCTCCTCCTCCTCCTCCTCCTCCTCCTCCTCCTCCTCCTCCTCCTCCTCCTCCTCCTCCTCCTCCGCCTCCTCTCCCTCCTCCTCCTCCTCCTCCTCCTCCTCCTCCTCCTCCTCCTCCTCCTCCTCCTCCTCCTCCTCTCCTCCTCCTCCTCCTCCTCCTCCTCCTCCTCCTCCTCCTCCTCCTCCTCCTCCTCTCCTCCTCCCTCTCTCCCCCTCCTCCGCCTCCTCCCCCCTCCCCCCTCCCCCCTCTCCTCCTCCTCCTCCTCCTCCTCCTCCTCCTCCTCCGCCTCCTCCTCCTCCCTCCTCTCCTCCTCCTCCTCCTCCTCCTCCCCCTCCTCCTCCTCCTCCTCCTCCTCCTCCCTCCTCCTCCTCCTCTCCTCCTCCTCCTCCTCCTCCTCCTCTCCTCCTCCTCCCTCCTCCCTCTCCTCCTCCTCCTCCTCCCTCCTCCTCTCCCTCCTCCTCCTCCTCCTCTCCTCCTCCTCCTCCTCCTCCTCCTCCTCCTCCTCCTCCTCCTCCTCCTCCTCCCTCCTCCTCCTCCTCCTCCTCCTCCCTCCCCCTCCCCCTCCTCCCCCTCCTCCTCCCCCTCCCTTCCCCTCCCCCCCTCCTCCCTTCCCTCCTCCCCCTCCTCCTCCTCCTCCTCCTCCTCCTCCTCCTCCTCCTCCTCCTCCTCCTCCTCCTTCTCCTCCTCCTACTCCTACTCCTACCCCTATCCTCATTCCTTATTAGAATATACTCCTACTCCCCCCTCAGGCCGGCCATTAGGGGCCGCATCCGGGGGGTTCCATCCTAACCTGTAAAGAAAACAATACAAAATCAACATTTTTCTTATTTTTTCCTCTCGACATGGACGTCTTGTCGTCCACGGCGATATTCCATTGCAAAACATACCACAAAGAGCACACGCGCGCGTTCATGTCAGAATCCTACCGAACACCTTGTGTTTGCAAGCATTTCAACATAAAAACATCAAAAACTCAATGTTTTTTTCACAAAAATTGTACAAACTTCCCGCCCGGGCTCTCTTGCTGAAATCATAGGAAAACCATAGGAATCTGAAGAATTCGGTCACATCCAGCGATTTCGCGTCATCGCGCGGTGCACTCGCGATGCTCTGTCATGCACCCAGGCCACGAATCCTGTGCAAAAAATACCACAAAGAGCACACTCGCGCGTTCATGTCAGAATCCTACCGAACACCGTGTGTTTGCAAGCATTTCAACATAAAAACATCAAAAACCCAATGCTTTTTCACAAAAATGCTTTGGGGTGTCCTGTCAGACCGTCGGGCTTCCTCCGGCCACCTCTGGCTTCCTGCGGTGTACCGGGCCATTCTCGACTCGTCTGGCAATGCGTGCGCGGCATTCAACACGCGCTCGCCAGTTCCCGTCGGCAACCGCCATCGCGGCCGCATCAGCTGTACCAAACCGGCTGGCCGGTGTGACTTCGGCCCCCAGTTGTGCCAGCTTTGCTTCTTATGTTGTGGGAGGGCGGGTGGGACTGGGCATGCCATGCTTGACTCGCTCGAGCTGGCTAGCTTGACTCCTACTCCTACTCCTACTCCTACTCCTACTCCTACTCCTACTCCTATTCCTCCTCCCCCCCTCCTCCTCGATCAACGCTCGTCGCAAGCCCTTGCCACTGGCTGCCCCCCACTGGGGGGCTTCTCCGAAGGGCTCAGGCGACCCCTCCTCCTCCTCTTCATCCCCCCTCCTCCTCCTCCTCCTCCTCCTCCTCCTCCTCGTCCTCGTCGTCCCAGACCTCCTCCTCCTGCTCCTCCGCCTCCTCCTCCTCCTCCTCCCTCCTCCTCCTCCCTCCTCCTCCTCCTCCTCCCTCCTCCTCCTCCTCCTCCCCCCCTCCTCCTCCTCCTCCTCCTCCTCCTCCCCTCCTCCTCCTCCTCCTCCTCCTCCTATCCTCCTCCTCCTCCTCCTCCTCCTCCTCCTCCATCCGCCTCCTCCTCCCCCCCTCCTCCTCCTCCTCTCCTCCCCTCCTCCTCCTCCTCCTCCTGTTCCCCCTTCCCTTCCTCTCCTCCTCCTCCCCTCCTCCTCCTTCCCCTCCTCCTCCTCATCCTCCTCCTCCTCCTCCTCCTCTCCCCCCCTCCTCCTCCTTGCTCCTCCTCCTCCTCCTCCTCCTCCTCCTCCTCCTCCTCCTCCTCCTCCTCCTCCTCCTCATGATAACAACTTTAGTGTGGAGTGTGCTGGGGCAGAGGTTCAGTGGCCGCACTTATTTGAATGTTTGTGCTCAAGCTTTTGAGGGGTTCGCAAGCCGCCGCCTCGCGCTTCCTTTGGGATCTCGCGCGCGGCGCCTCGCAGGCCCTGGTGGTGTGATCAGCCACGGTCTCACCGCCTTCCGCGTGCCTTGCCTGTACGTGCGGGTGCTCCCCGACAGGCAGTGTCTCCTGCCCGAACATCGGCGAGTCCCACGCGCTGCAGGTCCCGACGGCCTGGTGCAGCCACGCTGTGTTCTTCTGCCTCGGCCTGCTGGCGCGCGTCTTCGTGTTGCCCGCGGGCTGGGGCTGGAGGTCGCAGGCTGCGTGCGAGGGAGCCCCAGTCCCATTGGAGGCAGTCAGCACGGGCGGGGAGTGCGTGTGGCCGTCGGTCGAGCAGTTTCGCCTCCTGGCTTCGCAGCTGGCGAGGGCCGCCATTCAAAATGCAACGGCCAGATGACGCGCCCGCCGCTCCACACCGTGTGGGGGTACCCGCAGTATATCGTCAGCGGATCACTTTGCTGGACGCGCCGCCCGGCGCGGCAGTGGTCCTCACGGTGGGCGGAGACAGTTACGAGGAGCCGACGGTCGCGGATGCGGACGTGCTCGAGATGCGGCCTCCTCGAGGCCTCGGGGCGCCACTGTTCGGCGTCGCCGAGCTCAGCACGAATCGGTTCGCGGCTGCGCCTGTCGCGGTCGCCATGTGGGCGCGCCTGCGGGCGGCCACGATGCTGCGTGGCGTGCCCGTGCCTGCCTCGCCGTTCGCGTTGGCGGCAGGGGCGGGCGGCGGTGCCGCCTGGGTTCCGCAGTGCGTGCAGCTGGACGACCGCGCTGGCGCGACGGTCATGATGGCGGTTCCCCTTGCCGCGCCCCTCGTCGGCAGCGACGCCGCTGGCTTGGACGGGGCAGGGGCCGTGGCGACCGCCCTGGGGATGCCCGTGCCGCCTGCTGCCGCCCCTGCGGCCGCGCCCGTCCCGGCTGCGGCGTATCTCGCGGCGGCGGCGGCTGCCGCAGGCGCTGGTGGGGCGGCTATGGCAGACTGCCGCGGGCACCTGAGAGTGCGCCGCGCGGAGGGGCGGCGGGCGCCGGATTCCGCCTCGGCGGCCCTGCTGGCCGCCCCCACGCCCCAGGCGGAGGCGATGCGGTGCGACGCGGACTCGATCGGCCAGCAGCACGTGAGGGACTGCAGGCTGCTCGAGCTGGGCTGTTGCCACGACCAGGGGAACTGCGCGAAGGTGGCGTCGCACGAGCTGATCGGCTGCCAGATCCAGCTTATCGAGGGGCGGCACTGCGAGGACGCCGTCACCGCGCAGGTGGCCGCGGAGGACATGAAGAGGGGAAGGGGCAAGAGCGCCAAAGCTGCCAGCGCGAGTTTGCTGGCGGTGGAAGCGGGCCACTACGCGGGGGCGACGGCGGGCAAGGGCCCCCTTTGCATCGCGCCAGCCCTCACGGACGTCATCGTTGACCAGTTGGAGACGGAGGCCGCCATCGCCAAGGAGAGGCGCGAAGCCCGCCAGGAGCGGGCGGCGCGCGGATAGCCCTGCGAGAGCTTCTCCCAGGCGGGTGCAGGCACTTCGGTGCCGCCTGGGTGACCCCTGCATTTTCGTGGAGGCCGCCTCCACCATCGTTTTCGCGATGGACCTGGGAGCTCGTCAGCGTGACGTGTTCCCCTTGCCTGCTCTGGCGGTGGACTCTCGGGTGGAAGCCCGCCGCAGCCGTCGGGGGCGCCAGCGCGCCCAGCGCGGAGCTGCTTGGCGGAGATGGGCCAACGAAGGCATCGCAGCCCTGAACCAGCTGAGCGGCCACTTCTCTCCTGCGTCCGCCCCGCCTGGCTTAGCGGCATCGGCGGCGCAGGGGGGCGCGATGGGCCACGTCTCCCAGGCCTATCAACACGTTTCGCTTCCTCCTGAATATCATGAGGATGCTCCTTCTGGCGATGCAGCCTTGACAGAGCTGCTCGCATCGGCGCCTGGGTACTCTTCTGACTCCCATCGCGTCAAGCCCTACAACAAGGACCTGGCGTCCTGGCCTGATCTCACGACGGCCCCAGCTGACGTCGCTGATCTCGTCGGGGAGGCCGAGCGCGAATGTTTGTCGGGGTGGGGACGGACCATGCTCAAGGTTGAGTCGTCTGCCTCGGATTCGAGAGCGGCCTCGGTGCCGCAGCGTCCTCACGTCGACCCGATTTTGGGCAACAGCCCCAGGGCCTGCGCCGGCTTCGTGGGAAAGTTGCTGCAGGGTGTGATCTCTTTCCGTGTTGCGCGGGCTGGTGATCCCTGCAGCTTGGGTTTTTCTGTGTCGAGAAGGTTGGCAAAGGCGCGCTTCGCCTCGTCTCCGACACGAGGGTGGCGAACGAGGGTTTCGTGGCGCCGCCCAAGACCACGCTTCCCACGGCGGTTGCGCGGGCCGCCTTGGAGTCGGACCACCCCGCGGCACTGGCCCAGGGCGACATCCAGTGCGTCTTTTACCACATGCTCGTGCCGAAGGGCATGGAGGAGCTGTTCACGCTGCCCACCATCTCCACTTGCTTGCTCAATGTCAAGCAGCTCGACGGCCTCCCCATCTCTTCGGATTGCTTCCTCCAGCCGATGGTGCGCGTCCTGTCAATGGGCTGGAGCTGGTCGTTGCTGTTCTGCCGGAGCATCATGAGGAGGGCCCTTGTCCACTGCGGGTTCGGCGACGGTGACCTCATCGAGGATGGCCGCCCGAGCCCCGCCCTCTGTGCCAAGGACAGCGTGGCGGCCGCGGGCGACGTCGACAACTTCGCCATCGTGGGGGGCGACCCCATCGCCCTCACCTCCAAGCGGGATGAGGTGACTCGTACGCTGGAGGCTTGGGGGCTACCTGTGCACTCGCTCGACGCCGCCTCCGCTGTTTCCGCCCTCACGGGCCTCGAGATCAACGGCGACCTTGGGGCCGTGAGGGTGAAGCCTGCCAGCGTCATGCGCCTTCGGCAGGCGCTGCTGGCGGTATTGCGGCGAGGCGCCGCCTCGCTGCGCATGCCCGAAGTTCTTCTGGGTCACATCACGTGGGCGATGATCTGTAAAATGGAGACCCTCTGCATCCTGTCGTCTGTCTACGCTTTAAATCTCAGAAGGGCCCTGGAGTCAGGCCCCTGCGGGCCTCCGTCAAGTTCGAGCTCTGGTGCGTGGCTAGTACCTTGCCGGTGCGAACTTCGCACATGAACATCCCCTCAGGCCCCCGCGTCTCGGCTTCGGACGCTTCTCTTATTGGGGTGGGCGCATGTACTCGCAAGGGGGGCGGGCCTCGGGTGGCCGAACTTGGGAGGCAGGCGGAGCGGTGGAGATATCGTTGTACGTCAGCGGTTTCGGCACGTTCAAATGCGCTGGGTCTCGGAGGGGCCCCCGACGACTGCGACCTCATCGGGGGCTTCTTGGAGCAAGGGCTTCAACGAGACCCCCGATGAGCTCATGCAGGTCTCGTCGTGGGCCACCGTGATCTCCAGGGGGCATTGGAACCCGTCCAAGAACATTTTAGAACACGAGGGCGACGCATTGCGCGATGCAGTTCGGCGCGCCACCCGCAACGTTTCGTTTCATCACCATCGCCTGTTGTTTCTCGTAGATAATTTACCTTTGGCTTTGGCTGCCGGCAAGGGTCGAGGCCGCAAGCCCGGCCTTCGGCGACCTATGCGGAGGATCGCCGCGCTCGCGCTGGCCACCGACCTTCGGTGCTATGCGCGGTGGATACCTAGCGGGGTGAACGTCGCGGACGGGCCATCCAGTCATGGATTTTCCCACGGCAAAAGTTTCAAGGAGGCGCGCATTTCCTCGGCAGATCGCCCCCTCCCTGATGCCAACTGCTGCTCCGATCGGGGCGGCTCAGGCGGCGGCCCACCCTCGGGCCGAGGAGTTGTACGAGGGGGCCTTCAGCTTCCTCGAAAATTCAGCGGGGCCCGACCCTATTCGGGCTCGGTGCCGTTTCCACGCCCCGCGATTCCTGGAATGGCTGAGCTGGCACGACCTGAATTTCACCACCGCCCGCCAGCTGAACAGCGCCATCGTGGGGTGCCTGACGGATTTGGCCCTGGATGGTCTCGACACAGCGACGAGGAGGATAACGGTCGCGGCGATGCGCGTTTTCCTGTCGCACATCCTCGTCGGGAAGTGCCCGCTCCAGCGGTCGGCGCGAGCCCTCGATGGGCGGCGCCGCCTGGCGCTGCCGCGGAGGCGCCTGCCCCTCTTTCGCTCCGCCGCGAGGGCAGTCGCAGGCTGGCTCATCGGGATGACCTTGCCCAGCATGGCGGTCTCCGTGGCGTTGGTCCTCCGCGCACGCCTCACGCCGTCGGGGGCCTACAGGGCGCGCGCGGGCTCGCTGGCGCCGCCGACCCCAGGCGCGGGCTTCAGCGCGTGGGGCATCATCGGGAGCGGCGCGAAGGCGAGCCGCCCTGGCAAGACGGGGGCGATGGACGAGCCTGCGCTGGTCGACGCCCCCGAGCTCTGGCCCGCGCTGCACGCGCCCGCGCTCAACGCGCCCGCGGGCGCCAGGCTCGGGGACTTCAGGCCCGCCGACGCGCGCTCGATGTTCCGCCAGGCCTTGCGCGAGGGGGGGGGGGGGGGGGGCGCTGGAGATCGCCTGTTTCGGCAAGCAAGTGTTCGCGAGGCTTTCGGAGCTGATCAAGATCAAGTTCATGAAGGGCAGCTTCCCGCTGCCAGCGCCGCTCCAGCCGGCCCCCGCCCCGTCGCGGGTCGTGGAGCGGGCGCCCGCTCTGTCCAGAATGTAGCTTCGCGCGTGCGAGCTGCCTTCCGGCGTGCCTGTGCGCGGGCGCCCCGTCGCCGTCGGCTCGCTTTGCCGGCGGTTGGGCCCCGCGGGGCCCCCATTTGCAAAGCGCTGCGCCGTCGCGGTTTGGGTTGCCCCTCGCTTGGTGCAGGTCTGAATGTGGGCCTCGCGCTGTGCGACCAGGGCGTCGTCGATCGACTCCTTGGCTGGATTCGACCGTCGGCGGTCTGTGCTTGCTGGCTCTCTTTGCCTCGCGGGTCTTGGATCGAGTCTGGGCCCCCGCCTGTCCGCGCCGTGTCGGACCCATGGGGTCGGGCCGCGCCTGCTAGCCTACGTTAGCAGCTCTCGACGTTGTAGTGGGCAATGTCGAGATGCGCGCGGCCCTCAGAGTCATTCAGGCTTGTGCCGGCTCGTCTGTACCTGTCTGTTTTGAGCACCCGCGTGCCAGCCTCAAATGTGCCGCGCCTGAGTTTCGGACTCTACTTTGTATCCCGTCGTTTCTTCAAGTTGACCTGGACCTCTGCCAATTTGGAGCGGCCACTCGCTCGGCCGCGCGAGTGTTCAGCTGGCACCGTCCTCAGCTCCAGCGCCTCAGCGCTTGTTGCCGTTTGCGTGGCATAGTGTGCTCGAGATCGGGGCGACCTCATTTACAATTTGACAGCCGTGCGGCCAGAGGCGTGGTTTGCCGCTACAAAGCTGCGCGCTTCCCCGTCCGAGCTGCAGAGCTGGTGGCCGAATCTATCGTTGATGCTATAGATGATTTGTCTCGGTCGAGGTGGTATAGTCTCTGCGGCCTGCGGCCGTGAAGTTGTGTTACACAGTGTACGTCTGTGCTGCCTGCTGTGTCTGTCGCCACTCGTGGACTTGAGGCATCGCGCCTTGCCATCGCCACCGTCAGCTTGTCTACAAAGGAGCGATATGGCCACGGCAACCCTCCTCGGCATGATAACAACTTTAGTGTGGAGTGTGCTGGGGCAGAGGCTCAGTGGCCGCACTTGCTTGAATCTTTGTGCTCAAGCTCCCAGGCCCGCCCGCCCTCGCTTGAGGGTTGAATTTCGTCTGTCGACGTCTGTGCTGCCTGCTGTGTCTGTCGCCACTCGTGGACTTGAGGCATCGCGTCTTGCCATCGCAACCGTCCGCTTTTCTAAAAAGGAACGACATGGCCACGGCGACCCTCCCCGGCATCATCATCATCAACATCATCATCATCATGCCTTATCTTCCCTCCTCCTCCTCCGTTTGCTCCACCTCCTCCTCCATATCCTCCCCCCCCCCCCGTTCCTCCTCCACCTCATCCTCCCCCCCTCCTCGGGTCGCCTTCGGCCCCGGGAGTTGATCCGGATCCTCGCTCTGGCTCCGCGCGGGGTCGGGGTCGCAAGCGGGGGCGTGGCTGACGTGATGACCGCCCGAATATTTGCAGACAAGACATGTTATCCCTCTCTGTCTTTCCTTCCTTGTTATGATTGTTTGTTGCGTGTTGTTGTTCGTCTTCGTCATCGCCCGCGACCCTGTCGAGACCCACCCGCGACCCACCACGCGACCCACCACGCGACCCACCTACGTTGTTTGACGAAGAGTCGACGCCTGCCGCGGGTTCGCTGTGTAATGTGTCACACGTAAGCGCCCGCGGTGGACTCCGTCGGTGCCTCGCATGCTGCCGACGACCCGCCCGCCCCCTTGCTCTCAATCCGCAAGTGCGGGGTGTTACGCCTTCGGGCTCCCTGGGCCAAACTGCATCCACAGCTCAGACGCCCCCCGAGGTCCCAGGACGTCGGGCTCCCCAGGCGGCGGGCCTGGACAAGGCGCCGCCTCGCACCGCCCGCTCCTCCTCACCGGTTTGAAGCATATCCCTACCCCTGTGTTTGGCATGACCGCACTTCGATGCCGATCTCCAGGATTCCCTCCGTTTCCGAGGGCACATCCCGAATGTTCGCTTTGTTTTTTTGCTCGCCCATCTTAGGGACAGGGATGAGTTCGAGGCTGGCTACTCCCCCCGCGCGCCGCCTCCCAGCATAGCCGCAGGACGACAGGGACCGGGTGGCGGACGCTCCGTCGCCGCTGAGGCGCCAGCGCAGGCGCCAGCGGCGCCACCGCCAGAGAGGAGAAAGAGAGAGAAGAGAGGAGAAGAGATAGATACAGTCGACCCAGATGAATAGGTCGACCCTGCCAAATCAAGGGTACCCTTGCGGCCTGTGCCTCGCGACGCGTGCTCTCTTACATTCTCATGACAACGTTGCCATCGGAAGGGTGTTGTGTCCTGTCGCGGGTCCTGTCCAATCAAGGACGACTGTATATATATATATATATGTACATACATATATATACATATACATATACATATACATATACATATACATATATACATATATACATATATACATATAGAGAGAGAAAGAAAGAGAGAGAGAGAGAGAAAAAAAGAGAAAGAGAAAGAGGGAGAGAGAGAGAGAGAGAGAGAGAAAAACAAAAAAGAGAGAGAGAGAGAGAGAGATAGCCAGAGATGCGGCATCCACGCACGAGGGGCAACCAACGACGGAGATATGCATCGACTCCCCATCGCCCTGTGACCGCCGACTGGGGCCCGATGGTCCAGCCCGCCCAGGACCGCGCGGATTCGCTACTGGGGGCCTCTCGCCGATCTATCGGCGCCGTATCGCCGATAGCATTTCGAGAAGCCCCCGCCCCCCCCGACCTGGTTCACCCCGAACGTGGCCCCTGCATGCATCAGTGCATGCGCTGTCTAGCTGCACGTGACTACATTCTGGAACAGGTGCCAGTTTTCCCTACACGCCCATTGCCTGTCAACTCGTGTCGGGGTCCTTTTTGTTCCCTGCCCATGCTGTTGCCCCTGACTCTTTCTACCGCAACCGTTTGTTGCTCGAGTGTTGAGGGGGCCCTCGTCATGAACCGGCACGGCACCGACATCATACGATAGTTCAGCACAGCCAGAGATCCACACAGCATAACATATCATACACAAGTCAGCGACGGTGTGCCTCGCTCCGGGCAAGGCAGCCGAGGACAGTTTTGCTCTCGCCGGGAGCCACCTTGCAGAGAGACGGAAGACTTTACTGTTCGTGCCGTGGCCCACGCTCCGCCCGCAGTAAAAGCGAACGTCGTGCAGCTGAGCTCTCGCCGCGATGTCGCGCCATGAGGAAGATGATGACTCAGAGGAAATCTACACTTCGGAGGTCTACGCCGACTACGGTGGCGCGCCGCGCCACCGCGGGCCACGCGGCCACCGCGGGCGCGGCGCCGCGAGCTCCCGCGGCTCGGAGGGGACGCCTGCCAACCCGCTGTTCCCCAAGGGCCCGGCGCGGGGCATCAAGTGTCGTGGATGTCTGCCGTCAGCGTCCCCGAATTTCTCGGGGGATCGTCGCGCGGACCCGCGCTGCTGGGAGCACTGGCGCGATGCAGTAGACGCCTGGAAGTATCGCATCGAGCGCTAGTTGCCGCTCGCCGAGGCCGCGCTGCAGCTGAGAGATGCCATCGCCGGGGAGGCCCTGAAGGACATCGTCTCTGGGCCGCCGATGATTTGGGCCACCGAGGATCGTATCGAGAGGCTCGTCGAGTCGATGAAGATGCCGTTCGGCGAGGAGGAAATTATCCACACCGGGGACTTGGTGGCCGCCCACGAGAGGATCCGCCGCGCGAGCAATGAGAAACTCCACGCATATGTCACGTCATGTGCGGGTCGAGCGGGCGCTCAAGCAGGTCAAGGTTAGCATGTCTGACCTTTGCGACCAGCAGGCCAGAGGGCACAGTCTGTTGAGCACGACCATGCTGGGTGAAGATCACATTCGAGGTATCACGTCAGTCGCGCAGACGTACGAGTTCGATAAGATTCAGCACGCCATAGGGCGCCTGTATCCTGAGAGAGCCGCGGCGCCAGCCATAGTGTGGCCCCACCGCGAGAAGCAGTTCGGCGAGGGTCGCCCGGACACGGGAGGCAAGGGTTCCGAGGCGCCCGGCCGGAGGCGCGGACCGTTTCCGCCCACGGCCGGAGGCGCCGACCGGCCGCTTGCCGCGCGGCCGCCGCCGCCCCGAGGAGGGCTTCATGCAGCGAGTGCCGCAGAAGCCACGATCGACGATGAAGCGCCAGATGAAGGCGCTAAAGCAGACGAACAGCATGCCGACGGCCAGGAGGATGACGAACCCACTGATGAGGCCGTCGCGCACCCAGAGATCGAGGAAGTCTTCAAGGCGATGGTCGCTTTGAAGGACGTGCTGAGTATCACCTCGCAGATGATGAAGGTGACCACTCAAGCCCGAGGTATTCCTCGCGGAAAGGGGAAAGGTCAAGGCGGTCAGGCCCCCGCATCGAGACAGGGCGCCGACCAGATCAGACATCGCAAGAAGACGGAGGCGTGCCTGGACCGCGGAGAGCTCGGCCATTGGGCCGGAGACTCGGCGCGCAAGCACCCGGGCGCCAGGCTCGGCCCGAAGCCCCCCAGGCCCGCGTCGCGGCACCTTCAAAGGCTGGGCTTCCGAGAAATCTTGTCCACGCGTCGATGGTCTCGCCCTCTGCGCCTGCCCCTGCCTACTCCGCCTGCGCCAACTCTTCCGCGACCATGCGCGCGCGGACGATGTCAGACTCTGTCTGCAGAGGCCTCGCTGTCGGACAGTCGATTGAGTGCGTTGACGAGAATTCACGGCATGAGCTGGATGATTGCCGACGCGGCCTGCCAGAGAATAGTCCGCTGAGTCGCTTGGGGCAAGACCCGCGTCAAGAGACTCGAAGCTCGTTCATTGTGCCTGGTGGAGTGGGCCGTTCAGGAAGGATTCAAGTTCGGACGAGGCCCTGAAGTCCTCGCTGGGACCCGATGAGGATACCCGGTTGGGATCGCTGGCGTGGCACTCTGGGCCAGGTCGTCGCAGGTCAGGTCTCCTATTCCCCCGTTGGCCTCCAGCGGGTTCATGGTCCTCTCGGGTGCCTCCATAAGCGCGTTCGATCAGCTTCATAGGCATCGGCGCCCTCGCACCCCCCCCCCCCCCCCCCCCCCCCTTCCCATGCAGATTGCCAGCCGAGAACGGCCAGCTTATTGCTTGCATTTCAGATTTTCCGAACGAGCTGACCGGTTTCACCGCCTTGGAGAGCCGGGATGAAGATGCCGCCCTGCCCCTGGGGGCGAAGAGCGAGCGCGAGCGCCGACGCGAACGACGCCTCGAGAAACCACAGTTGAGCAGTGGTAGCGCAGGGGGCGAGTCGACCAAGATGGGCGTCCGACGACAAGAGCGACGCGTTCGTTTCGACATCTCCGGTGGCAGTCTCGAGGGGCGCGACGCGCCCGGCGGCGCCGTCGCGACCGAGCGACCCGAGTAGAAGCCAGAGACGTGTTCGGTCAAGCAAATAGTGTCAAGCAGTACCAGCTTTCAGGTTCCGAGCCTTCGGCCCCCTCCATTTCCGAGCCGCTGGATCCGCTCGTATTCCAGCCGCCGCTAGCGGCCGATGCGGCTTTCGATTCGGGCGAAATTGGATCGGCTCATCGCTCGCCTCTGGGCCTACCTGCAGTCCGCGCTTGAGGCCGGCCGCTCTTTCAAGGCGCTGCCGTCGCTCTGCCCGGCCTTCCGCGGCGCCTTCCTGGCGGCCGCGCCGCGCCTGGGGGCGCCCCTCAAGGGCTGCGCGGAGTGGCTCAAGTCGCGCGAGTTGCACGCCCAGGCGAAGCAGCCGCCGAAGCTCGAGCCGCTCGACCACGTGCACCCCACCTTGCAGGCGCACTGCGCGGGCCGCCACGGATGGCATTCCCGGCGCCGGCTCGCCGGCTGCCAGATGAGGTGGAAGTGGCCCCCCGCGGAGCAGGAGTGGCGCGAGTGACCGGACGACCATTCCACGTCATTACGGGGCTCCTCCTCGCGGCCGCCGCCGCCGTCACCGGCTGGCTGCCGCGGCGGCCAGGGCCGCACCGCTGCCGCTCAAGCCGATCGCGTTATCCTCGAGACCCTCGGCGCCGGCGCCGACTTACACAGCGCCGCGCTCGAAGGCGCATCCAGCGCTAAGGGGGGGGCTTCCAGCCGGAGGCGCAAGGGGCGGAAGCCGATGGACGAGGACATAGTGGAGGGCGATTCCCCATGGGAGGAGATTGCCCGGGAGGACTCGGCCGGGGACGCGCGGAGCGCAGGCTCGGCAACCTGGGCCGCATCATCTCCGCGCTCGAGTTCGAGGCCAGCGCCCGCCAGGAGGTCGATGAGCACTCGACAAGTCCGCGACCTACCACGTTCACATCTTCGAGGGCTCCGCCGGCATCGGCAACATCTCCAGGCGCGCGCACCTTCGGACTGTCCGCCTTGCAGCCGTTGGCGACATGCTGTTCGGACGTTCGAGCCTCTTGTGGTCGTCGCGGGCTTTCCATGTGCGAAGTGGTGCTGGTGCAACTACGGGAGCAACTGCCGCGACTTCCCAGATCTCCTGGCCGCCATCAAGGACGAGGACCGACCCCTGCTCCAGCTGGTGGTCTTGGGCCGCTCGCGAGCAGCAGACGGAGGGCCGCTTCTTTTTGCTAGAGAGCGCCGACAAGAACCATGCGTGGGAGCGGCCCGAGTTCGACCCCCTCTGGAAGGACCGCAGCACGGTCTGGGGCTTCGTCGACAGTTACCTACAACCTGAGGGCGGTCAACGGCGAGCTGATGAAGAAAAGCCGGACCTGGGTCAGCAACGACCAGAACCTGCTCGAAGCCGCGACAAAGCGTTGCGACCGGAACCGCACGCATGCGGAGGCCCAGGGTCGCGATGCGCCTCGTTCGCAAATTTTCACCAACGAGTTGGCCGACAGCATCCTGACGGCAGCGCAGCAGATGGCGGTTGCCTTGGCACCCTCTTCTATGGCATGGACGTCCAGCTACGATCAATGCCGCTACGCGTGGCATCAACAGAGCTCGACTCCCGGGGAGACCGCCGACGTGAACTACACCGCCTGGTTCGCCGACGTCGACTGGGGCACCGGCCAGCGGGGGGCCGCCCTCGCCCAGGCGATGGTGCCCATGAGCGACAGAGCCCGAGACCTGTGGCATACCTTTCTTGGACGCAACATCTGCGAGTAGGTCCAGGCCAGGATTCCATGGGAACTCGTTCGAGTCC